AGGCGCCTCCTGGTGGCCAACCAGCCTCTCTGGTCCCTGCTCGGAGTCTGAAGCCTGCCCAGGGTTCCCCACATCATCCAGAGCTGACTCATAGGGTCCTTCGCTATTGGAGTCTGTTGGCAGCTCCAACAGCTCCTGCTGGGCCACAACAGTAACTGTGGTATTTGCTCTACCTGCATTTAATTAATTCTTTTAATTAAAAATTATTAAATGGGAAACCTACAGTTATCATTTATGTCTTGAATGTATTGAAAGTCCAGATATCTTTTATGTAGTTCTTTGTTCCTCTGTCCAAGAAGAGGAAAAAGGTAAACTGCCTTATCTCTATGTAGTCGCTATAAGCTGACATTGATGGCATATTAATTAAGCTGCTTTAAATTCCTAAGAGATATGTAAGATAGAAAGCTCACCAATAAATGGTTCAATTGTTTTAATTCTGTAGATTACTTGATTTCTTGTATTAAATACTTCTTGTATAAATATTAAGGCTGTATAATGCTTTCTATTTGGGGCAAAAAATACTTTGGGCATGTGAGAATGCAAATGTATTATGTCTGAAACTCCTTAAAGCAGCCATGCCCTTTTGCAGAATCACACAGCAATCTTCTGTAGCTGTTTTATGAACCTGAAGAAATACAGTTTGGTTTGAAGTGCTCTGAAGTACTGTTATATATACTGAAGTACTATTTAGCCAAATTAAGCACAATACAACCTGTACACATTTTTAACATCCTCTAAATTTGCAAATTGTGTGTTAGCATTTTCCTATAAATGCAAATATATTTTGATATATGTACTCCGCAAAATAAAGAACTTAATGAAAGTTATAACCACCATTCCATACAGGAAACTTCTAGGAGCACAGACCTGCAGACAGTGTTACAGCTCTCTATGAAAGCCATCCAACATGAAAATGTCGACGTTCGGATTCATGCTCTCACCAGTCTAAAGGAAACATTATATAAAAACCAAGTATGTAAAGCTGAGGAACTCAAAATCAGGCTGAAGTATGATATTCACTTAACTCCTAGTAAGCCTCCTGAAATTAGTGCTGCTTTTGACAACATATATATAGTTATGTGATCAAATAAACTAGCGCAGTCTCCCTGACAGACTGTTCAAAATTATAATAGTGTTGAAAAAGTAGGTTTACAACCAGCCCTCAAAAATATGCGTGTTGTACATCCCTGCAGTAATCATCATTTGTGATCCTCACAGCCAGCTTCCAACAAGATGGAAATAGTTGCATTTTCATTTTTTATAGCATCTTACGAGTCAACCGATTCAACAGAAGCAAAGCAAAGCTAAAATAAATTCTGTTATTTCAGGGTGTAGGGAAAAGGACTCATTCTGAATCAATAAAACTGCCATGAAATAAAAATCTTGTCATTGAGTAGTGCACACTGATAAAATCTTTTTCTGTGGTATGCTTGGATAAGAAAATAGCTTGCAAGAAAGAATGCAGGAGTTTTTTTTCAAGCAAAACAACATTTTACAAATAGATCCCCCTTGCTTCTTCCAGGGCACTTTATAGTATGCCCCTAAATAGGCTGTTCTATTTCATTCCTACATTTCATTTTTTTTTTAATGCTGTATCTTTTGAAAGAATGACAAAAGAAGGGTAATTCAATGAAAGCTAACAGATGTTTGTGGACATAATTTATTAACTCTTTTTTTTCTTTGTCTTTTCTAGGAAACTGTGATAAAATATTCAACAGCTAGTGAAACTGTTGAGCCAGTTGTTTCTCGACTGGTGACAGTCCTCCTGATTGGCTGCCAGGATGTGAATTCTCATGTACGGTTACTCTCTGGGGAGTGTTTAGGAGAATTGGGAGCTATAGATCCAGGCAGATTGGATTTCTCAACAAGTGACAACCAAGGAAAAGGGCTGCTATTTGTGGTAAGTAATACAATAACATTGACATTTTTAATGCTGGTAGGTCTTCTGTTTTATATAATAAAAAAAATGATAAAAACTATAATTGTATATAATTTACTTGTTTCAGTGCTCCCTTACTGTTTAAACATCCATTTGACATAAGAATGCTAGAGAGATTGTTCTGATTGTCATTGTTTCATTTTTCTGATCAATGAACAAGTATAGGGTTTTGCTGAAAATCATTGTGTGCATTATTATGATTGGGAGTTCCAGAAACATTTTATTTTAATGTACAATGGCATTTAGACTTGGATAATGAGAATGAGAATACTAACATAAGACATTTGCTTTCAGCCGGGTGTAGAAGATTCAAATTTTGCATATGGATTACTCATGGAATTGACAAGAGCATTCCTTGCTTATGCTGACAATGTCCGAGCTCAAGATTCTGCTTCATATGCTATTCAGGTGAGGATGTTTTCTTTTCTAGTATTCTGTTAATTTATTACTTATTAAATAACATTGAATTTTTTTAAAAAAAATATCAGTTTTCTTTTCGATACCATGGTGTCAGAATATGGTCACAGTAAACTAGGATTCTAAAAAATGTTACTGCGGCTTCTTAGTTACTCATTAGAAAACCAAATAACTCCGAAGTCCGTTGCCTAGTGTTCTTTCTTACGGGCAAACAACCCATTTTGAAGCATAATTTTCTTAGCAAGACATAGTCAGAGATGGTTGTTTTATCTTGGTAATGATAATTTGTTTAGATTTTTGGAGCTTTGCCTTGCCAATAGAGTCAGAATTTGGTTGGAACTTTTTCATTGGGTTAATAAGCCTCAACAGGTAGCAGATCTAACCATCTCTGGCGATTTAGAATGTTAAGCAAGATTGGCTTGGGTGAAAGATCAGCAGGGAATTGCAGGATTAGGGTGGACAAAGGGGTCAAGAATGTATTCTTTGAAAAAGAAACAATTTTCTTACCATTTCCTGGTAAGAAAACGGCATATGTGTTTATATAGTAATTAGCATGTGTCAGGTTTGACTCAAAAGAGACTTTTCAATTGGTTATTAATCAGCAATGGAATTTTTCATTTTTATAATTCTTAAAAATAATTACATGTGGATTCTTAATTTTGTTTTTTAAGGAACTACTATCTATATATAACCGTAGTGAGATGTCTACTGATGAAGCAGGTGCAGTGCTTTGGAAGATGTTTCCAGAACATATTCAGGAAATATTGGAACCTCATTTAAAAACACGGTATCAAAAATAAATTTAGTTTTTTTACTTCAACTTTTTAAAAAATCAAAGTAGTTTTAAATATAGCCTTTTTCTATTTTCTTCTTACACAAAATTGCACATCACATCTGAATTACACAGTTGAACAAACTAGCAGACAATTCCCCATATGAGCTTATGCAAATTATATATTATGTAAATGTTAGCTATGGATATTTTTGAACTAATTTTATGTAGAATTATATAATTAAGAAAAGTTACATAACCCATACATTTTTCTGTTTTATATAAATTGGTTCACACATTGTGCACAGTCATTTAAATAGCTTAATAGCACATCAGTGAGCANTTTTTTAATATGTACTTCTTGCAGGCATATTATATCTAATTTCAATTTTTCTAATTTATTAAACGTCCTTTTTTATGCTTGATTTTAGTCCATTTATATTTAATGAAATTATTTTTATTTCTTCTATGTCTTAATTATTTGTCATTTTAGTTGATCTAGTCACTCTCATCTCCATTTGTTCTTTCATCTCTTTTGTTCTTGCTCCTTCTCTTAACGCCCTTTCTTCTTGTTCTTTGGCTAGTTCTCTCTTTTCTTTCTCTTCTTGTAGGCCATTCATTCTTCTGTACCAAAAGGTTAATAGAAATGATTATTCGCAAAATGTGATGTATGGAGGGTTTCTGATTTCAAAAATCAGCCATTGCCAATTAAGATCAGCAATTTCCACAGTAATACTGAGGTCTCCAAAATGAGTTTTTGGCAGTACAAGAGATGTGGCTGCCTTTCCATATAATCAATACTGCTGTTGCAGGAACAATAACAACCTGAGTTGTTGTTTGGAGTGAATCAAATTCCACTGCCACCTTCTCCCCCACCCCCTCCCATAAGAACAATTTGTGGTTCTGCTCTTCATATAAAGATTTAGTCACAGAAAGTGAAAGGGCAGTATGTCTTTGCCTCGAAATATAATACAGGGAGAAGTAGGGAGACCTGATGCTGCATGTTGACTCTGGGAATTTCTGGGTGAAAAATAAATGTGATGGTACAATATGGTCAGCTTAACATTTAACATTATGAATTTATTATCTGGGTTTGGAGACCTAAACCTCAAGAAACAAATTATAGGTTAACCTGATAAACAGAAATGAATTTTACTTAATCCTTTTATGAATAATATTTTGTTTAAAAGTGATATTGAAAAAATGGAATGTGCTATTTCTCTTTTATGTCCTTTTTTAGATTTAATAAAGAATATTCCTCTATTGTGCAAACATTTGGACTTCAGAAATGATACATTGAATGTAAAAACTGTTGTTGAAGCTTTCTTAAAGCTTTTGGAAGATCCAGATAAAGATGTAAGAGTGGCCTTTAGTAATCGCATCAAATATATATTAAATGCTTCAGACTCTGAGGAAGAATTCATCAAAGAGGTGAATTTATTGTGTACTTAGAGACAGCAAAGCATTAAGTTGTATTTGCAGCAATCACTATAATACTTTATTTTCTCCTTCAGCTGTTTGTTTCCAGAATGAAAGAGGCTTATACGAATGCAAAAATGTCCAGGAATAATGAGTTGAAAGATACACTGATTCTTACTACAGGAGATATTGGAAGGTAATGCTTCTTAATAGATTTCTTTTGCTGCATTTATAAATATTTTACCCGAAGACGACCTTACATGGAAAATGGTTAATTATTGATAGTATTTACTGAATAAAAGCAATCTCACTTTAGTTGCTGAGAAAATGAAATGTTTAGCTGTTATATTTGTTTATGGATAAGTTTGTATGTTTTGTTTTCCCGTGTATTATCTTGTATGTTAATATTACATTTCCTTGATGTTGATTATTATTATTATCCTCTATTAGGTCAGCAACAGGAGATTTGGTACGTTTTGCACTGTTGCACCTACTGCATTGTTTATTATCCAAGTCAGCATCTGTGGCAGGATCAGCATATACAGAAATCAGAATGCTAGCTTCTGCCAAGTCTGTAAAACTGCAGGCTTTTTTCAGTCAGTACAAGAAACCCATCTGTCAGGTGAGGACAACATGATCATATTGACTAAGTGGAATAATTTTGTATCCGTCATAAAAGAACCTGGAGTCATTAATTGAAGCTCAATTGTGGAAGTTTTAGAATGCAAGGCAGTGCTGCCCTGGGATATGATGATAGCTACTCTTTTAGATGGCTTAAATGATAGTTAGAATTAGGGGAGGAGGGGATATACTTGCTTCAAGTATCTGATACAATTTCTATGTAGCAAGAATGGGTGGGTGCTCTTTTGTTCATATTTACTTGAAAGCTTCTGATTTGTACACTACGAGCCCAGTATGTCTATGTACATATTTGCTTGTTTCAGAAGAAGCTCTTAAATTTTTATGATTGATAAAATTATTCTTACTCTCATCCAAAAGAATAAACAGTATTAAATTCAAGTATGTTAAACACTTTGTGTGCTTATACCATCAGTGTGAGGCTTGGGGGCGGGACTGTTAAATGCACATTGTTTTGGTTGGGAGAGAATTTGTTGCCTGAACTATAACCCTGCAAAAGCTAAGAAAAGCTAAAATTGATGGAATGATCCATTGATATAGTATTCCTAATTAACATTGCTTGTTTTCAACTGACTGAAATAAGAATAAATGCATTTCTCTTGGTTTAGTTTTTAGCAGAATCTCTACACTCCACTCAGATGGCCCTGCTTGCAAACACTCCACGGCAAAGCAGTGAAATGCAGAAGCAAGAGATTGTTCATCAAAGAGACATGGTTCTGGACATGTTATCTGAAATTGCTAATGTTTTTGATTTTCCAGATCTTAATCGTTTCCTTAGTGTACGTAGCAATTTAAGATTTATTAGATTTCTATATATTGGTTCATTTGGGGGGGGGGGGATTAAACAAGGTGAAATTCCTGAATTGTGTCTCTTGTATTCTTTTCTATAGTGCATCCTGAGCTTCCATGGCTTAGGATGAACTATAATTTCAGTCTCCTTGCCCTTGTATACTGTGTTANTTCCAAACTCATGAAGCCATACTTTTGATAAAGAATTTTATCTCAACACCTAATGAAAGCAGAAGAAAATGATTTCTTTGCTCAATGCTGATTTAACAGAATGAGATAAATATGAAAAAATTTATAAACATCCGCAAATCTTTAAGCACCATTATATGATATACATTTTAGGAGACTCATGCAGACACACTTTCTTCTGAATACTGCAGTGGAGGGAGGATGCTAGTGGGGAGCTGTTCCAGTTGAAAAAGTTCTGCATTGGTTTCTGATGTCAACTGTAATGAGTGATCTGTTTTATGTGATATTTTAGGTGCTTCATTCTGAGAGCACTTAAGATTGGCATTTTGGAAGATGAAGTTTGATGTGTCATTTTAAAACTCTTTATTTATAGCATCAAATAAGGAATATGAAGAATATCAAAATGTAGCTCGCTTTCTTGACCTCATACCCCAGGATACATTGGCTGTGGCTTCTTTTCACTCCAAAGCTTACACCAGAGCTGTAATGCACTTTGAATCTTTCATCATAGAGAAGAAACAAGACATTCAAAAGCATCTTGGATTTCTTCAGGTTTAATACTTGTTTTAAAATAAAATAAAATTCAATTTCTATGTTATATTGGGTCATTTCCCCCATTTTATAATATTAGGGCTTTAATTGGATACCAACATTGCTATTTCTTCCCCTCCCCTCCACTAATAATGCCCCCATTTAATAAAATAAAAACTTAACATTAGATGTCATGTATATATAATTTTATGTGTGTTTTAAAAGAAAAAAGTAGAGATCAGATTTCTTAGGTCAGATATGATTGGGAAAAGGAAAGTTACATTTTCAGTACTGATAGTTAATGTATTCAGAGCAAAAATAAAAGAAAAATGAAATGTTTCTTAAAGTTAGCAGTACATTAAAGTTGTAGAGGGATTCTTGAATATAATGATAGAACACAAAGATGTCCTTAAAGTTAATTAAGTCTCACATGTGACTTTTTGCCAGAATACTATCTGATGGCAAATGTTTTCTTTTTACTCAAAGAAACTCTATGCAGCAATGCATGAACCAGATGCCGTAGAAGGAGTGAGTGCATTACGGAAGGCTGAGCCATCTCTCAAAGAACAAATTCTAGAACACGAAAGCATTGGGTTGTTGAGAGATGCTATTGCTTGCTTTGATAGAGCAATTCAGCTAGAACCAGAACAGGTAACCAGAGACTTTTTCTACTTGGGGCTTATTTTAAAATAACTCACATAAACATTTATGATAGATAATATAATTTGTTACTTCCTTGACCACAAGAGAATCATGGCAACAAGAAATAGTTTCTGAATTAGAAAAATCAAGGTCTGTCTCTTTTGCAAAAGGTATAAAACAATCCAGCAAGGAGAAGCTTTTGCTTGATTAAAAATTGAAGCATATTATAAATGGATCGGCTGTGTTCTTAAATTGTAGTAGGGGGAAGTGTTCAAGGGCATAAAATGATTATGGGGGAAATGGTAAATCAGTGTTTTGTTCATATGAGCATGAACAGACCAGCTAGAAATGAGATAGTTTGAAGTTTAATTTCTTTGTAAAATAGAATAAAATATGGACAGCTATCACTAACAGAGGTAATATTTGAAAATATCAGAAGTAGGAAGGAGCAGTCACTTGGGCAAAATAAGGCAGTTGCCTTCTTAGGCTACAGGTGTTGGGAACATAAAAAACAGAATAAAGAATTGGAACGAGAGAGATACATATCCAGAGTCAGAAAAATGATTGTGGGTCTAGTTTGCCTTCTGGTAAACAGTAAAAGCATATTCTGTGTTAAAAAAAAATCTTACTCTTTAAGTGTAATTGTTTTTCATTATATAAGTAGCTTCATCTACCATCTCTTGCTATCCTTGTCTTTTCTTATTCTATGCATTTTTATGTGAATTTGGAAGCATGGGAGGAAAAATCCTAAATACATATCATTAAAGACATGACACATTCTTTTTTTTTCCTTTGTACCATTTTCTTGCTTGTAAACCTATTTATGTATGAGTCACCTTATTCTTTGTAAAGCAGGCCACACTAGGTTGAGAATCAGAATGAGACATAATCAAATTTTCATTCAATAAAAAAGTCCCTGGAAGATCACAGCTGTTTTTTTTAAAAAAAAAAGTTAGGTTTCATGATTAACCTAATTTATAGTGTGTGGTTGTGACGTGATGTTGCAGAATTTGTATGCTTCCTTATAGAATATAATGGACTGAAAAGTTGTAACTGTTACTTTGCTTCCTTCTAGATAATTCATTATCAGGGTGTGGTGAAATCCATGTTAGGTCTTGGTCAGTTCTCCACTGTAATCACTCAAGTGAATGGAGTACTTGCTAAAAGGTAAGGTGACTCACTTGTGCCTTATTGTGTATCAGAAATATATACAAATCTAGTGCAGATAGAATTGATCAACCACACTATTTTTCTGACTATGATTTTCTGGGAAAATATGTGGCTGGGCATGAATCTTGTCCATTAAGATATAAACCTTTTATATTTTATTTAAGGGAAACAGTACTCCTCCACATCAGGGATGTAAACTGTTTGGCTTCTCAGTTCATGCAGCCTGCCAGCAGCCCTTTTGCAGCCCCCCCTGGCTCTCATGCTATTTCTATTATATATCTTTATCTAACCATCTTTTCTCCTTTTACCAGACCTGAATGGACACCTGAATTAAACAGTTACAGAGTAGAAGCTGCCTGGAAATTGACACAGTGGGATTCCCTGGAAAATTATCTAGCTTCAGGTTGTTGGAATAAAGATGTGATATTTGTTAAATATGAATTTTATCTTAATTTGATCTTGATTATTGGGAATATAGAAGATACCAGCCATAAGCAGTATGAGGACAAAATTCAGTAATTTTGTCTCTCATTTTTATTTATTTATCTTATTTAAAGATCGCCCATCTCACTCACAGTGAGTTTTCCAATTCCTACACTGTTCCAAATTCATCAGATTCTTCCGATCACATTTATAAGGCTTCATGAGATTGTTTGAATTTGATTTGTATTATTAATAAGTAACTGCCTATTGCAATGGAAGTATCAATTTAATAACATCCTTACTATTTCTGTACTATACAGTAAAGAAAATAGTAAGGATATTGTACTGATTTTATATATTTTAAGTTAGCTAACATTCCCATCTTCATTAGAAAAAATCATCTTGAGGCTTGGAATTTTTATTTTACTTGGTAGAAGTTTAGTTTGCAACTATCCCCTTCAATCACACAAATAGAGGAAAGCATCTGGAGAAATGTTCTCAGTTTAGATCAAAACATATAGTGGGTCCCACATCAGTTATGAAGACAGTCCTGAGAGAGATGTATAAGGTGTCTGCTCTGATAAGTTAAACCTCTGGTATGTTCACTGTGAAATTGAAAACGGCACACAGCTCCAAGTGTTGTCTACTCCCAAAATGGAAACATGTCGAAATTCAAAAAACAAGTAAAATATTTTACATTTAATTAAAATATTGTTGTTTGGCAGTGTCAGATGTTGCCATATTCATCCCAACTCATGATCTAAATGGTCTCTCTCTCTTTCTCCCTCTTCCTCTCTCCCTCTCCCGCCTTTCTCTTTCACATACACACACTTCAAAAATCTTAACACTGAATGTTTTAGCACATTAACACATAGAACTATGGAAATTAAGGGCTGGAAGGAAATTTGGGCGTCATCTTCTAGTTCATCCCCTTTCCAGTACAGAAATCTTATGCTCATTTTGTTAATAAGTTTTTATAGGAGGTCTCAAAAATGTTCTGGCATAACACTGGCAACTAAAATACCAATATTAATGTAATTTGTGACATTTTAGATAAGAACTGGAATGTTTACACTGGTTCTGTTACAACATTCTGGTAAAGTGTGTGAGTGTATCAGAAGTATTGACTATATTAACATGAAATTTTGGTTTTCCCACTGACCTTTGTTTAATTAGATGGGAAGTCTAATACATGGAGTATTAGGCTTGGACAGTTGCTGTTGTCAGCCAAAAAGAAAGAAGCTGCCACTTTCTTTGAAACTTTGAGAACTGTTCGAGCAGAACAGATAGTTCCTCTGTCAGCAGCAAGTTTTGAAAGGGGCTCCTACCAACGAGGATATGAATATATCATCAGGTATTTTTAATATGTTTAATAGCTGTTTAATAATGAACATATACTTTTCCCCCCAAAACTTAATATCATGTTGATGTTTTAATTCGCTTTTAATATATTGTACTTTTTCTTAACCATTCTTTCTTTCTACTTTTTCTTAAGTTCAACAATGAGTTTTTTAAAATAGTTCTGGGAGGTCATATTTGCAGTAAAACAAATATAAAAATGGTGAATTTGAATTTTTGTGATTTCCTTGTCTTGGTAAAAACTGTATAAAAGTTTTAAGAGATGTAAATTGGCTGTTTTATACTTGGCAGCACTAGATTCAAAAGGGATTTTCAGGCTCTCTAGGCCAGAGTTTTTCATCTCAACTTCAAAGCATTTGGATTTCAGCTCCCAGAATTTACCCACCTAGCCAGATAGAATGAGCTCTTCCTAATCTGAATTAAATCAGATTTTTAAAGTTGTGATATTTTAATGTCATTTTTCCACTAAAATAATTTTCTAAAATGAGCTATCCTTGTATACACTGAAATGACAATATGGCAAAATTATAACACAATCTCTAAAGTCTGTAGCTCTCCAAATACTCTTTTAATAGACAAATATTCTTAAATCATAGGTTACACATGCTTTGTGAGCTGGAGCACAGTGTTGGATCCTTGCTTCAAAAACCTGATGATTACTATGGTAAAGATTCTTTGAACTGGCATGCTCGTTTGGAAATGACACAAAATTCATACAGAACTAAAGAGCCAATCCTGGCATTTAGACGGGCTCTGCTTGGCCTCGTCAAAAGGTGAATTCTGCATAGAACTTCTTTCCCCATCCGGTCTTTTTCTCTTTATTATGTGAATTACAAATTAAAATGGACTGAAATGTAGTTAATAAAGGGAAGCATCAGTTCCAATTACTTTCACAAAACAAAAGCAAAATTGTACTTTCTGAAAGGAGCTCAGAAGAGTTACATGGTCCTGATTTTGCAACAGTTTTATGAAATGATAGTTTAGATAATAGATAGCAAACTAGCATATAGCTGACTGGAGGTTTAGATAGATGAGCTATCAGATTGGCTTTCCAAGATATGGTTAATGCATTAAATTTATAAGTGTATTTAGATAATCTTCAGTGGACAGATTTCTCCCTGAGCTGTTTATTGTGAGCCAAATAAAGAACATAAGATATGTACATTGCTTTAAGCCAACAAAAAATAAATAAAAGGGAGGAAAGTATAATAAATATGTGTGAGGTAGAGGCACTATTCAGTGTTTAAATATTGCTGAATCTGCACAGTTTTTGTAATTTATGGATACTTTATTATAACAACATTAGAACATCTTACTAGAGGAGGAGCAAGGGCCTTGCCATCATGGCTAACCATACCTATTGAAACAAATGAACTGGTTACAGAAGACTTTATTTTTTGTTCCTTTCTAGCAGCTGGGAACTTTTTCTATTCCGATAGAAGTCTATTCCATTAGATTTCCACTCATCTAATGGCAGTGAATGCGGCCATCCTGTTTTATAAATCATGAGAATTAAAGAGAAGAATATTCCTAAGCAGCTATTAGTATACAACCCAGTATTTCCCAACTATTAATAATGGTAATTAATAAATAATGTTGCAAGCTAAGTAAAATTCCTTATAAATAGCTCATATAGAAAACTACAAAGGGTTCAAATTTTTGAAGTGTTGTTACTTTAAATCATTAGTTTCAATTAGTCCCTAAACCAATAGATGCAAAATATCTGAAGGCTGTAAGAGTTGTAACTATGTAGAATTTATTCTCTGGCACACATGGAATATTATAAGTATCTCACTATATTTTTCACAATATATATTCCAATAGACAGGATGCCAATGAGCAAATGGGAGAATGTTGGCTCCAAAGTGCCAGAGTAGCACGTAAAGCTGGTCATCACCAAACTGCCTATAATGCTCTCCTCAATGCTGGAGAATCCAAGTTATCTGAACTTTATGTGGAAAGAGCAAAGTGGCTCTGGTCTAAGGTAAATATGATATAATGTGACTCCCTCTATATTTTAATTTTCATCACATGTTAATGGGTAATATTTGATATTTAAGCTTATTTATCCTGATCTAAATGAAATGTAGTCAGAAAAAAATATTGTGTAGTGTTTAATATTACAGTTTAAAGATTTTTATTAAGGTTTTTCTCTAAGGCAAAATAGTATTTAGATAAGAGTGTATGTATATAGACTTTTTACAAAATGGCGCAATATTCCTTTTACATATAAGAAGGTTGATTGTAATAGTAATAGCNAGTCTCCCTGACAGACTGTTCAAAATTATAATAGTGTTGAAAAAGTAGGATTACAACCAGCCCTCAAAAATATGGGTGTTGTACATCCCTGCAGTAATCATCATTTGTGATCTTCACAGCCAGCTTCCAACAAGCAGTGTCAAATGGCAAAGCCAACAGTAAATCACAAGTCATGTTTACAAAATGTTCCGCTTGGCAGTAGAGTTGGTGTTTACAATTGCAGTTGTTTAAGTGAGGACTACCTGTATCCCAAAACAGTTTTATGAATATAAATACACGTAATAATTCCTACAGCTCACTAGTTCTCACTACCAAAAATAGATACTGATAATGACTTAGTTTAGGCCAACAACAAAGCCAAATAGGTGGTTTCATTCCGGCAGTTTAAAGTTTGATTTAGGTATGGAAGAAGAAATCTAATAAGTTTTGCTTTGATTTTTTTCTTATAATTAAAAACAAAATTAATGAGTTTATTGCTGTTTGTATAAATGCATTTTTTAAAAATTTTAGGGTAAGTAAAAATAATGTCATCTCTTGACCTGAAACAGCTAAATTGCATTTCTTCTATTTTAATTCTTGATTCTTTCTTACTTAATTAAAATAGAGTATTTCTATGTTACACAGTTTTAAAGCACTTGTCTCCATCTTCTTGCAATTAATTTATTGTTAATCTTTTGTCAGCATTGCCGAAAAAAGGATATTTTTAAGATCGTATCCTAATAATGACTAAAGTACAATATCACTGATTCATACAGTTGTAAAGTCATGCCCATATATTTCCCCAAAGTCTATCTAAAACTCCCCATATTATTCCATTGAGGCAGGGTTTGTATAAAGCTCTTCTGTCTTTAGTTCTTTTCTTTTCCTTTTTCAGTGTCTTAGAAAATGATTTGAGCATTTGGATTTGTAAGTTGCTGGTTTACAATTCTACCATTCATTGCCAGCAGTCAGTGGCGAGGGATTTGAAATAGTCCAGATTATCAAGAGACATAGATTCCTGTCTTGGAATAGTGACAAAATATGATGTATTTCCTTGTGTTATTTATATTGTTTGCTAAAGGCAAGGAAAAAAGTGTCATGGAAGAGAGAGGTGAACTTGGTGAATGGTGGTGAAACGGTATGAGAGAGAGCATATTTCAGGGGCAGAGTCATGCATCACATGCAGAAGGATACTTGGCATTTTAAATTAAAAATATTTGTAGAAACAATGAAAAAAGCCTCAATCCACCTGAAATCCTAGAGAGAGAGACACTCAGTCAAATTAGTCTTGGAGATGGAAATAGTTCCATTTTCATTTTTTATAGCATCTTACGAGTCAACCGATTCAACAGAAGCAAAGCAAAGCTAAAATAAATTCTGTTATTTCAGGGTNGAGCTATTATTGCAAAGAGAAAAAGAGTATTACACATAGTCCTTGACTTATAACCACTCATTTCGTGGCCATTTGAAGATACAATAGCACCAGTGGTGGGTTGTCAATTATTTTACTACCGGTTCGGGTGCGTTCCCCCGTGCTTGTGACGCTTCTATGCATGCGCAGAAGCATCTGGGCGGGTAGGCAACCCGCCACTGCTACTAGTGGTTCACCTGATCCAGGTTGAACCGGGAGACACCCACCTCTGAATAGCATTGAAAAAAAGTGACTTATGACCAGTTTTCATACTTTAAGACTGTTGCATCATCTCCATGGTCACATAATTAAAATTTGGGCACTTAGCAACGGGCATGTATTTATGACACTACCACAATCCTGGTGTCATGTGATTACCATTTGTAACTTTCCTAGCCGACTTCCAACAAGCAAAGTGAATGGGGGAAGCTATATTTGCTTAATGATTGCATGATTCATTTAATAACTATAATGATTTGCTTAACAACTGCCTTACTTAGCAACAGGAATTTTGGGCTCAATTATAGTCATAAGTCAAGGACTACTGAGACTTGACTGCTAGACTGAAAGTAGGATAACTGCCCTGGTATATTGTCAGCATACCATTATACTTGAATCAGTATGAAGTATTCTGAACAATACTTCAAAATCTCCTCATTTCTGAACCAGACATATTTGCAAATTCATACATAACAATAAACAGTGTTATTTAATGTGATACTCATTGTATTAATAAAGTGTCTTGCAACAGCAGGAAAGTATTACAAACAAATTCTGTTTCATTTGTTACTCTTTTTTATGTATATGCTTATTGATAGAATTATATCACAATTACTGTGGACAGGACTGAAATATCTGCTAATTTGCATTTTTTGTTTTAGTGCGGTAAAGAGTTACTAGAGACTTAACAATTATTTGTTAAATGCAAAATAATAAACCACCNTTATTTAGATAATTAGTAATTAGATAATATAATCAGTGCTGTAGAAGAGAGTATAAAGATAAATAAAGGGTAAAGAAATATATAAAGTAGTAAGTTCCAATCCCTATCACAAGGATAAATTAATTTAGTAACCTTCTGTTTCATACATTTTGTCATTTGTCCCTGTTTCTTTAACATATGCTTTTGGTTGAATGCTGAACAGATTCATTTTATCTGTGATTAATATAAAAGCTATCCAATATATATTTATAAAACCTCTGTGATAAAAATAGTAATGTGACTACTAATTTTTTGCTCTTTTCAGGGTGAGGCTCATCAAGGTCTTATCATTCTTCAAAAGGGAGTTGAACTATGTTTTCCAGATAGTCAAGAATTATGTGATGCTAAAAATAAGCTCATTCATGGGCAAGCCTTGTTATTGGTGGGAAGATTTATGGAAGAAACAGCCAATTTTGAAAGTAATGCAGTAATGAAAAAATATAAGGTAAATGTTAAAGTGGAACATTTAAATAATGTAATTTTAAAACTTTAAGCTAGATCACTTTTGTTCACATGAGCTTTCTTTGGGTGCAATCTGTATATCTTGTTTTTTATTTTTCTATTTTAGGATTTATATTAATTTGGACTGGCATAAACCTAGAGGGAGTTTATAAATACTTGAAGTAATGATTGACTCATGGAACTAAATTTTAATTACTACTATAAAAGACTTACCTATATTTTTTTTCTCTCAGGATGTCACCACCTGCTTGCCAGAATGGGAGAATGGGCATTTTTATCTTGCTAAATACTATGATAAAGTGATGCCTACAGTAACAGAGAACAAGATGGAAAAGCAGGGAGATCTGATCAAATACATTGTTATTCATTTTGGAAGGTTAGTTCAGTAAATGCATATAATGATCTTTGTTTATTTATATTTTTTTCATTTTTCCCCATTCTTTCAGGTAATTCTAGATACTGGTGTTTATTAACATTTTATGGATGACTAGATTAATGCCAGTTTAACAGTGTGGGAACTGGTATTCTTCTTAAATGCCAACATCAGTATGCATGACTTGGCGAATGGCCATAGGCCAACAATAGATAGTTCTCATTTGACGAGCAATTTGGAAGTTACAACATTTGTATTTAAATTAATGGGCATTGCAAAAAGCTAAAAAAAAGTACAATAAACTAGATATCCTTTCCAAAAAGAGTACATTGTAGATAATTTTCTATATAAAACACTTTATGTAAATGCATTTGTAATCTTAGATAGAGGATTTTAAATATCCAAAGTCAGATACAAAAGCTGCCAATTCTTACAAACTATACCAATAAAATAGCAATTTTATATCTTTGTACTTTTTCCTGTTCTTGCAACATGTCAAATAAAATGTAATTTAAAACCACTAATGTGAGATAAAGTGAAAACAAACTGCAGAAGAAAAAGGACATAGATAAAATACACATTTTGCAAGGTGGTATTTTAATTTCAGATCTTTGTATTTTGGAAATCAATTCATATACCAGTCAATGCCAAGAATGTTGTCTTTGTGGTTAGACTTTGGAGCAAAAGCATATGAATACGAGAAAGGTAAGACATAAAAAAGTACTCTTTTTGCATTAAGGTTTAGCTGATACATATTTGAGCGAACTACAGATTGAGTCATGTGAAATGTATGTACGGTAGCTAAGTGTGCATATGTACGAATGAGTAAGACTGTGAGGTGCTTGTGTGTAAGTAAGAAAGACGAAAGAATAATATGTTAGCCAATAGGCAGATATCTTGTATGGCTAATCTAATCTAATTCAAATTTAAAAAGGAAGATATAGTCTTTTTTGTCTATTTTTAATGTGCTTTAATCTATCTTTTAGATATGTTGATTTAAAATGTAGGGTTATGGTTATCGAAGTACTGTGTCGAATAAGTTGGCATTTTCTGGAACTTGGTGAAATGATTTGTATGAAATTAAATTATTCCATACAGGGATATAACTAAAAAAAATGTGTTCTTATGGATGTTCAATAGATTTTCAATATGCAGCTGCAGAATAAAGGATAAAGAAGGATAATTTTTTTATATAGAGATATCAAAAATGCATTTTGGGAATATGTTTGGAATTGTGTACTTGTTTCTTTTTTCCATGAAATAAGATACTGATTTACATTGCTTTGTCTAGCTGTTCGCCATGATCGTGCACAAATGAAAAATGACTTGGCTAAAATTAACAAAGTGATTACAGAACATACACAAGTCTTGGCCCCTTATCAGTTTTTGACTGCATTTTCTCAGCTGATTTCCCGAATCTGCCATTCACACGATGAGGTCTTCCTTGTTCTTATGGCAATCATTGCTAAAGTTTTTCTAGCTTATCCTCAACAAGCTATGTGGATGATGACTGCAGTATCTAAGGTAACTTTGTTAATGTTGTTCCATTTTTGATTGAGCTAGAAATTCCCCCTATAGGAAATATTAAAATGATTCAACTTTTGCACTTGTAGAGATGCTTCCTTGAAATGTTTCTTGTGAGCAACAGTTTTATGTGTATCCCAGGTAATCAAGGCTATTATCCAGAATGAGGTGGGGAAATCATATAATTAAGATATACTTTATTTTCAGTAGCTTTCTTCAGGTGTTATGTAAAAAGTACGTTGAGAGCAAACAGGTGTATATACAGTCTACTTGTTTTCCACAATGCTCCCTCAAGGACTCATATCTAGCTATGAGTGCTCAGTTTCTGTCTCTTTATTTTGCTTTGGTGAGTGTGAGACTTAATGCTTTTTACATTCCGGGCAAATATGTTTTTCTTTGTCAGGCTTTAATTTCTGAATTTATTTTGATGCAATTGTTTTGTTGTAATTTTTGTGTGTAATTGTCAAATTGTTCTGGAAATTTTGATAACATTAAAACTCAATAAATTGTATTTTCTGCAGTCATCCTATCCAATGCGGGCCACCAGGTGCAAAGAAATCTTAAACAAAGCTATTAATATGAAGGCATCTTTGGGCAAGTTTATTGTAGATACAGCTCGCCTGACAGATAAGCTCCTGGAACTTTGTAATAAATCGGTAATGCATATACTACATTTTCTATAATTTATTATTCCTGATAGATTAAAAATGTTTATTTTGTGAAAGCAGATTATTCATTCCAGTGTGTTCTTTGTTATAATCTATAAATAAATTACGATCTATTATAAAGGATTGAATTTAGACTTGTTTTTTTTTAAGTAATCTTTATTAGTTATACATTTTTAAGAGTAAAACATACAAATACAAATACAATTTTAAGCCACATCTTCTCATTACAAAATTCAGGGATCTATTACAATACCCATGTTCACTTTTAACTTTCCCCATTTTAAGTCCCTGCTGTTCTCCTTGGAATTTAGACTTGTTCATGCCATGGATTTTGGTGGAATTGAAAACATCAAACTAGGAATTGTTGACTGAAATATAAACTAAATCTAAACTAAGACCATCAACATAAGTGCTCTTAAATATCCTTTAGGTAATTAAAAGAAGCAACAATCAATAAAGGAGAATATTTGTAGCTCAAGGTTGAAATGTGGGGTCCTTGGTGCTCTCTGAGCTTGGTTGTTTTCTTGCAAACATTTTGTTACCCAAACTAGGTAGA